GTGTGTGTCTGTGTGTGTGTGTCTGTGTGTGTGTGTGAGTGTGTGTGTGCGTGCGTGTGCATGTGTGTGTGTGCGCATGCGTGTGCGTGCGTGTGTGCGTGTGTGTGTGTGAGTGTGTGTGCGTGTGTGTGTGTGTGTGCGCGTGTGTGTGTGTGTGTGCGCGCGCGTGCGTGCGTGCGTGTGTGCGTGTGTCTGTGTGTGTGTGCGTGTGCGTGTGCGTGTGCGTGTGTGTGTGTGTGTGTGTTTTGAGGTTAGGTGGTTTGCCTATTTTTCTACGTAGTAAGTGGTCGAGAGTCATGTAGTAAATCTAAAATGAGCAGTAGAAACTTCTGAACTTTGTACCTAATTTGAACTATAAAAAGTTACCTACTACATGTGATAAATCCAAAGTTTTACATGTCTCCTTACAGGGTTTACCTTTTGATGAAATGCTTAATTATTAAATGGTTAATTAATTTTCTTTTGCAGAGTAAGAACATGATCCTGGACCAAGCCTTTAAGTATATAACAGAATTGAAGCGCCAAAACGATGAGCTCCTGCTTAATGGAGGGAACAGTGAACAAGGTAGGGTCTTGCTGTCTCCTATTTGTTAGACTATGCTTAGGTGTTTGTGTTGCAGTGACAAACACTAGAGGACATGGAAAGCTCCCCCAGCCCTCAAAGCAGCATAGACCCACACCTTCAAGGAGCCCAAGAGAATAGCATTGCCAATGAAATCATTGCAGCTGAACTCCTCTTCCTCCTCTGTGGTTAATCTTGTAGATATGTAACTTCAATTTTGACTCCTTGTGTGTATTTCATGTTTACCTAAGTCATGAAACTAAGTGTTCAGTCTCCTTTGTTCCACTTAAATCTTGCAGTTAGGAGACTCTCACAAGATGACTCATAGAGGAGTTCTGCTCAGTATAACTTATAAACAAGATCAGAGGCTGGATCTGGGCCAAGTTTTAACAATGCATTGACTTAGAAAGATAAAATATTCATTTCATAATTGTTTGCATTAATATAAAGTATGTATTAAACTGCCAGATTATTTAATAATACTTGATTTTTAGGTTTAGCTTTTTGTGCTGTGGGTTTGGATTTTTCCAGCAGCATTGGAGAGAAGCTGAAAGGAGCACACTCTAGGCCAGTGTAAAGCTTGGAGTGGAAGGCTGTTGAGTGTCCATTTATTATGGCTCTGAAAAGAAAAGAATTTCCTAAGACAACCTAGCAGACCACCTTCAAAGGAACAATGTTTTATTGAGGTTGGACCATGCTGTGCTGTGGTGCTTGTGATGGGCAAGAATGGTGTTGGGAACTATGTCCAGGAAGGCAGCATTGGGACTCTTCCATACATCAGTTAAGTAGTTGCTTTCCTAAGTCAGGTCTCTTGATGTGCAGCCCCTTATGGGCGATTCTAATAGGTAGTTAGGTAATTGGTGTTGGGGAACATTGGGCAGCACCCCATAAGATGCTTTGAAGGCCAGAATGATCCATAGATTTTTCCAACAATAGCTCCTTTGGCTCAGAACACAGAAGCTAAGCCAAACAGCCATGTTACCTTAGAGAAAAGGGAAGCTAATGAAAAAATACTAGGTGTACAGGGCTCAGAAAGTGCCTAGCAGCCAGGCCAGGGGTGGGCCAGAGCCTGAAGCAGCTTCATCTGGTTCTTTTGTCATCTCTGTTGTAATTGTTGTTTCTCTGGTTCTTTTTGTGTGTATTTTCTATCCACTCCTGGCCCCTGCACTTTTTGTTGTTGTTCTTTTAGTAGAGAATAGATTATTTCATTTAATGCACAGTAGAGGACAGTGCTTTCTCGATGACAATGTCAGAGAGATCACTGTGCCTACCTGTGTTTCAGGCAGGCTTTATAATACAGTCTATAGAGGAGACAGCTTTTCCTTCAGAGCACACTCCTGTCCAGGAGATTATCAGACCCATTTTAATAGACTTCTAATGAGGGGGACAGTGGTATACTTTTGTTCTTTATTGGCAATCGTCTA